ACGAAAATAAACTAACAAAATTGCCATTTAACGATAACTTAATACCAAGCAAGTCGAAAACCTCAAAAAAAGTGGATTAAACCAGCTTCTGAAAAATTTTCACCCCTTGATCTCAACTCCAAAAAGCAAGTCAGCAGATCTTTTCTTACTAAAAAAAAAAATGTTTTCTCAAAAAGCCCCATGTGACTTCCTGACTTTGAAAAGTCAAAATTTTTAACTATCACAAAGGAGTTGATAGAGAGTTAATGAAGGCATGTCTTACAAGTGGACTTCTCCATTTTTGCAGCCAAAGAAAGAAGATCAAATTTCCTTTTTATATACAGAGAAACTCTGCACCAAAGCAGGTGGCCTTTCAAAGAGATAAGCAGACTACTTTTTCAAGAGATAAGTAGGGAGTAAGGAGGTTGCTCACCAGAAGAAGCAAACAGACTATCATCACAGACTGTGTTCTTTTTTACAAAGAACAAACATGGAACAAAGAGAGTTGGTTTTCTTTCAGAAAAAGCAAGGAAAAGACCTCCATGAAAGCTGATTGTTGATGGTTCTTCTCTGCGAAAATAATAACTTCCCTCTTTTATGGCATTGAAAAAAAAAAGATCTTTTGAAAGATCTGCCGCCCATTATTACATATTAAAATACCCATTCCAACATTTCCTATAAATGCGAGATGAGGTGAACAGATCAAAAGACAGCCAAAAAAAATCAATCAATACAAAAACTCTCAAAAGTCACAACTGACAAACTCAAAAAGATCAACTGATATCAAAAGCTTTCAGACCCTAAAGCAACCAAAGCTCTTTGATCCATAAGAAACAAATCAGCTAGAATTCAAATCTCTGGTTTCAGTTCAGTTCAGTTCAGAGAAACAGTTTTACAAAGCGAGATTTCTCTCGTTACAAATTTGGTTCAACATAAAGCCAAGTCAAGCAGAATCCAGGTTTTTTTTTTTTTTTTTACAAATATAGAAACCTCAACAAATTTACAGAAAGCCTTTATCAAGCAGAACAGACACCATCAATGACCATCAATCCAGGCACTTATGTCCTCTTCAGACTAGAGAGGCCTTAATTCTGCCCATTCAGCAAGCCTTCCATGGCTCGAAATAAATTGAAGATCTGCCAAACTCAAACGTTGGTATTGATTTCCAGTTGAAACTCATCAGTTGAAGGTGTTAACGGTTCAATCTAGCATAGACACATCCAATCCAGCCCAGTTTAGAGGCAGCTACCCTGGCAGAAATCGAAGTCCAACGTTTTGTTGTCTTTTTCGAAGTTGCCATTTCTCTTTTGAGTCCTATAATAGGCAGTTCTGCCTAAAACAATTTGTTTTCTTTTTATCTATTCTGGCCAAAACTACCAGTTTTGTACTATGAAAAATTGTGAAGTCCTTACCAATCTGAGGCAAGAACTTACTTGCGAGACATTCCTCACCCAAATTCACAATTGCTTGTTTAGAATCAGTAACTTCGGGCGCAAGTTATCTATTTTTTAGAAGTCTGCTAGGGTTTTAAATTGCTAGCAGTGGCACGTTCACGCACAAAAGAAAGTTGACTTGTTGACCACCAATGGTTGTCAAGCCAATGGGGAACTTTACCCTACCATCACATAATTAAAATAAAAATAGGTGAACACTAGGTCGTTAGGTTAATCAAATTTGACTTAAGGATAGCAAAATATTTTGCATATTCTGTTGTTTCTATGATGGTCATATCGTGAATTAAGGACACTCTTTGGCCTTTTGAAGCCATATTTGGGTTTATTAACTATAATAATAATAATAATTTTCATCTTAGTCATAGTTTGGACAATTAGGTCATGTTTGGCATGCCTTAATATGCCTCATTGGACTGGATTGGGTAAAATAGTCCTTGAAATTCATGTTTGGTAAGGGAGGAGATTAAGTTAAATGGGATTATATAATCCAATGGGGGAAAAAACATCAGACTCACTTGTCTAATATAGCAAGTTCGAAATGTGGTTTGCAAAATAACAAGAGTGCTATTTTGAACACTCGAATCTGGCTGGATACCATCACCACCATCAAACATGCAAGCCCGAAACATCAAACATACCACCGCCACCACGATGCCACGACCGTCAGACCATTACCATCAAACCCATAACCAGCCACCACAAACCCAATCGAACCATCATTAAAAATAAATAAATTAAATTAAATTAAAAAAAACTGGGAAGGAAGAAGGAAAGAGGAAGGAAAAAAAGGGGGGAGAGGGATAGGGAAGAAAAGGAAGAAGAAAACAAGAAGAAGAGAAGAGGAAGGAAGAAAGAAAAAGAAAAAAAAAGAGGTAAGTTAGTTTTAGTCTTTAAAAAATATTAGAATTTAATTTATTTTTAGGTCAAAATCCTTAATTAAAATTAACTATTAAAATAATTATTTTTTAGTTTGACACAACACCAAATATAGGGCTTCGCTATTTTTACAATCCAACTTCTTAGTCTGATGCAACACTAAACGTAGGTCAATACTTAATTCAGCTTAGTCCAATCCAAGCTAATCCGAGACAATCTCAAAATTTAGTCTAGTCCATGACAGTCCGTTGTATCAAATGACCGCTTATTATGATTGTCATCGCCATCTTCCAATCATAGGCATCGACACCTAAATTTGTTTTCTATACAGCCGATCAACATTTTTATCGCATTATGCCGAAATTTTAAAATCATCATATTCTCCTTCATCACAATGCCAGCTATCTGAAAACTAATTGATGAATTAAGTGCTCACCCTAAGGTTGGTTTGTGTTTAGTTTGATGAGTCGTGTAACTGAAAAAGACAAATATATATATATATATGAGTGTTGTTAAACGAACCCTAAAATTAACTGAGTGCACTATATGATTTAAGTGCATCCTAATATTTAAATCAACATATAAAATTAACTACCCTATTTAACTACCAAAAATACCCTTGATACACCCTAATATCACACAACACCAAACCCATTCATTAATTTAAATATTATGTTGTTGACGACACCAATGAATACCAATGAACACTCGGCAGTGGTTGGTGAACAATCGATAATTTTTCGAAATTTTATACTGCGAACTTATGAACTATATATATATATATATATATATATATATATAATAGAAAAGTGAAAATTACAAATTGCCCAATAGCTTAAAAGGTTTTCTGAGCAGTAGGGGCGAATACCATTGTGTGATTTTCTCCTTCTAATTGTAAGATTTGAAATTTTTGAGAGCTTATCTACTTGCATGATTTTCTTTTACTACTCTGTGGGAATTGCCTACATTTGTTGATGAACTATGTATGTGCTGGCCATATATGATGATAAAAGAATCAGGATGCCTGTTGTATTGTGTTTTTGCTTCTTCTTTTTTTCATTACGAAATTGCCTGAAATAACTTTCATTTGGGAGAGATTTCTGAATAAGGTAGGGTATATTTATTAACATTATATTTCAGGGCATGTTTACATATCAGTAATGAAGAAAGTAAGGAATAAGAGAATTTAGGAATCAGAAAACTACTAAATCGGTATGAAAAAAATCATTCACATTAAGTTGTTTACTAAACATATGGAATTAGCAAAGGAATGGGATTGATTCACATTATTACTGTTTACTAATTTGCATGAATCAGAATCCAAATTAATTTTAGAATTATGGTAAAGTGGTAAGGGTATTTTTGGAAGTTATTAAGAGAAAACAGAAATGGGAATCGTATCGACTACTCCCCCCTAGTTCATCTGATACCTAGTTTTGAGGGAATGTGATTACGGATTTTCAGGTGGGGCCCACTTATTTTTTCATTCCTGATTGCAAGTAAATGCAGGGGAAGTCAAGAATGGAAATCATTCACTTTCCTCTCATACCCATTACTGATACTTAAACATGCTTCATTCACAATTCAATATATCTTTTTTGTCATTTTATAATAGGATAAATTAGTAATTCAATAAATAGTTTGATAGTAGGGTATACTCAGTTAATTTTAGGGTTCGTTTAGCAGCACTTATACATATTACTCAATCTTCTCTTCCCATCATTATTAAAATTAAAAAAGAACCGGAAAATTCATGTTTTCTCAAATGTATTCATTGGACAATGTCAATGACCCATGTTATAAATACCAAGGTTAATTTCTTTTCTTTCTTTTTTCCTTTTTTTTTTTGGTCGAAAGTTAATTTCTTTATAGACACCAAGATTAACTCTCTCTCTCTCTCTCTTTTGTCATTCACTAGGGAGGGGAGGGGGAATAATATATTGGGTTGTCTCAAGATTGTCTCATACATGAAGGGTGCACTTTTAGGGGTGAGGGGTGAGAGGAGAGTTTGGCCCCCCAAAATTAACTCCAAACCTGTGTTTTGGGGAGAGAAAAAATCTCATGGTGACGTGGATGTTCAAGATTCTCTCTTAAATACGGGTAAATGCACATATGATATTTGAATGAGTACATACATTGAATCATTTAAAATATGCATATGGAAGGCTTTCTTTCCAAACAAGGACAAACTTGGATGCATTTGGGAGAGTTCGGCCCACCAAGATTAACTCCAAACCTGTGCTTTGGGCAGAGAAAAAATCTCATGAGAACGTGGATGTCCAAGATTCTCTATCAAATGTGGGTAATGCAAAGACTCGAGATCCGTAACATATGAGGTTTGAATGAATACATACATTGAATCATTTAAAATATGCATATAGCCTTCTTTCCAAACAAGGAGAAACTTGGATACATTTTTAGTATAATACCCAAGAATTGAACCATAAAAATGAATTACATTTCTAGGTTTGAAATCTCACGTTCCAAAAGATTTCCCTTTTTTTGGACATTCCTTATCCTACATTATTATTTTATTCCTTCAGAATTCTTGATGAAAAAAAGCCCTTAGCAATATCAACCCATATAAAAAATAAAATAAAAACCAACCGCTATATATACCTTACCTAGCAACATCAATCTCTACCCTCAAACTAAAAAAATTCAACCAAATCAATAACTCAGTCACGTACGATGCGTCTTCAATGGGTTATTGCAGTCCTTGTTCTGGTCGTTCCACTTGTGACTGCTGCTGCCCCAGATGTAGTTCTTGAGACTTGGGATCCCGTACAGAACACCAGCGAACCATATTGGATAAATACCGCAGAGTTCGCTGTCTCTTCGTATAACAAGCACGAGAAGAAGAATTTGGTGTTTGAAAGCGTGGTCAAGGGCAAGACACGCTACGAGGTAACAGGCCTCTATATTGTCCTTGTCATTAAGGTCAAAGATGGGTCATTGCCCAGCGCAAATTATGATGTTGCAGTACGTGATAAGTATGCTGGTCCTAATCCTTTGGATTTGATATACTTCCGCAGAAGACCTAAATTTTGGTGATCTCAAATTTTATTTGGATAATGTTCAATGATATGTTGCCGTAATTGTGACATCTTCGTTTACAACTAAAGAATAAAAAGTTGATAAGTTGGTCTCCAAACTAAGTATTCTAAATCCTTTTAAATTGTATACGTTTGAATTTTTGTCCTTCTTTTTTGTTGGGATTTTATTTTGTTTTTTGAGGGAGGAGAGGAAAGAGAGTCATTGACAATAATTTCGTGACTGCGAGATCCAGACAGAAGGAAGACAGATGAAGAGAGGCTGCGGGCAGAATGAGAAGAAAGAGAAGAGGGAGGTGGGCGAGTAGACAGAAGAAAGAGAAGAATGAGGCAGAGGCCACTACTACATTTTACAATTTGCACGATGAAGAGAATTTCGTCACGACAGGTACATTTTAGTCGCACAAATTTCAGCGCGACAGAAACTTCGTCGCGCAAAGATCGTGAAGAAAGACTTTGCGCGACGAAAAAATATTGGTCGCTCAAAGTTTTGTGTGACAAAAAACATTGGTTGCGCAAAACTTTGTGCGACAAAAAAAATTGGTTGCGCAAAAGTTTGTGCAACGAAAAATATTGGTAGCGCAAAAGTTTGCACGACAAAAAATATTGGTAGCGCAAAAGTTTGCGCAACGAAAAATATTTGCGCGACTAAAAACATTAGTCACACAAAGTCCTAAAAAATAAAAATAAAAATTTTCGCATCCCATTTTTGGTACCCACCCAAATTTTTAGAATTTTGCGCAATGAATGTTAATTTTTTTCTTATTATTTCTTTAATATTAATTTAATTATATA